GACGTTTCGGGCCTAGACCCTTCATCAGAAAAGGGGGAGGGGGAGGGGGTTTTGAAATAAATAGGGAGAGAGTGGGAGGCGGATAGAAGAGGGATAGAGGAGAGGATAGGTGGAGAGGAAACAAACAGGTCGAAGAGGCGGGGATGGGGCCAGGAAAGGTGAGTGTAGGTAGGGAGTTAGGAAGGGGATAGGTCAGTCCACGGAGGACGGACAGGTCAAGGGGGCGGGATGAGGTTGGTCGGTAGGAGATGGAGGTGCGGCTTGAGGTGGGAGGAGGGGATAGGTGGGAGGAAGAACAGGTTAGGGAGGCAGGGACGAGCTGGACTGGTTTTGGGATGCGGTAGGGGGAGGGGAGATTTTGAAGCTTGTGAAATCCACATTGATACCATTGGGCTGCAGGGTTCCCAAGCGGAATATGAGTTGCTGTTCCTGCAACCTTCGGGTGGCATCGTTGTGGCACTGCAGGAGGCCCAGGATGGACATGTCGTCTGAGGAATGGGAGGGGGAGTTGAAATGGTTCGCGACTGGGAGGTGCAGTTGTTTGTTGCGAACCGAGCGTAGGTGTTCTGCAAAGCAGTCCCCGAGTCTCCGCTTGGTTTCCCCGATGTAGAGGAAGCCACACCGGGTACAGCGGATGCAGTATACCACATTGGCAGATGTGCAGGTGAACATCTGCTTGATGTGGAAAGTCTTCTTGGGGCCTGGGATGGGGGTGAGGGAGGAGGTATGGGGGCAGGTGTAGCACTTCCTGCGGTTGCAGGGAAAACTGCCGGGTGTGGTGGAGCTGGAGGGGAGTGTGGAGCGGACAAGGGAGTCACGGAGAGAGTTGTCCCTCCGGAAAGCAGATAAAGGTGGGGAGGGAAAGATGTCTTTGGTGGTGGGGTCAGATTGCAGATGGCGGAAGTGTCGGAGGATGATGCGTTGGATCCGGAGGTTGGTGGGGTGGTACGTGAGGACGAGGGGGATTCTTTTTTGGTTTTTATTGCGTGGACGGGGTGTGAGGGATGAGGTGCGGGAGATGTGGGAGACACGGTCGAGGGCGTTCTCGACCACCGAGGAGGGGAAGTTACGGTCCTTGAAAAACGAGGACAACTGAGATGTACGGGAGTGGAATGCCTCATCCTGGGAGCAGATGCGGCGGAGGCGAAGGAATTGGGAATAGGGGATAGCATTTTTGCAGGAAGGTGGGTGGGAGGAGGAGTATTCTAGGTAGCTGTGGGAGTCGGTGGGCTTGAAATGAATATCGGTTTCGAGGTGGTTGCCCGATATGGAGACAGAGAGGTCCAGGAAGGGGAGAGAGGTGTTAGAGATGGTCCAGGTAAACTTAAGGTTGGGGTGGAAGGTGTTAGTGAAGTGTATGAACTGTTCGAGCTCCTCGTGGGAGCACGAGGCGGCGCCGATACAGTCATCAATGTAACGGAGGAAGAGGTGGGGTTTAGGGCCGGTGTAGGTACGGAAGAGGGATTGTTCCACGTAACCTACAAAGAGGCAGGCGTAGCTTGGGCCCATGCGGGTACCCATGGCTACCCCCTTTGTCTGTAGGAAGTGGGAGGAATTGAAAGAGAAGTTGTTGAGTGTGAGGACGAGTTCGGCTAAGCGGATGAGGGTGTCAGTGGAGGGGGACTGGTCGGGCCTGCGGGACAGGAAGAAGCGGAGGGCCTTAAGGCCATCTGCATGGGGAATGCAGGTGTAGAGGGACTGGACGTCCATGGTAAAGATGAGGTGTTGGGGACCGGGGAATTGGAAGTTCTGGAGGAGGTGGAGGGCGTGGGTGGTGTCACGGACATAGGTAGGGAGTTCCTGGACCAAGGGGGAGAAAATGGAGTCGAGATAGTTGGAGATCAGTTCGGTGGGGCAGGAGCAGGCGGAGACAATGGGTCGCCCAGGGCATTCAGGTTTGTGGATTTTGGGAAGGAGATAGAAGCGGGCAGTGCGAGGTTGGGGAACGATGAGGTTGGAGGCCGTGGGTGGGAGGTCACCTGAGGTGATGAGGTTGTGGATGGTTTGCGAGATGATGGTTTGGTGCTCAGGGGTGGGGTCTTGATCAAGGGGGAGGTAGGAGGAGGTGTCGGAGAGTTGGCGTCCGGCCTCGGCGATGTAGAGGTCAGTGCGCCATACTACAACTGCACCTCCCTTGTCCGCGGGTTTTATGGTGAGATTGGGATTGGAGCGGAGGGAGCGGAGGGCTGCACGTTCTGCGGGGGAGAGGTTGGAGTGGGTGAGAGGGGTGGAGAGGTTGAGGCGATTGATGTCTCGACGGCAGTTGGAGATGAAGAGGTCGAGGGAGGGTAGGAGGCCTTGGGGTGGTGTCCAGGAGGAGGGGGTGTGTTGGAAGCGGGAGAAGGGGTCAGTAGAGGGAGGGTTAGGTTCACGGTCAGAGAAGTAAGCGTGGAGGCGGAGGCGGCGGAAAAACTGCTCTATGTCCAAGCGTGAGCGATATTCCCTGCGACTCCTTGCTCCCCCTATTCAGTTTAAAATCCCCTTCACTTGCTGGTTATATGAATAGCAAGAATACTGGCCCCAGGACAGTTCAAGTGGAGATCATCCCATTAGCATACATCCCCTTATTCTCTGTATTGGTGTTGCTGACTACCTGGACTCACATTCTTTGCTGCAGAGAACAGAGTTAATCCCTCTGACTATACAGTCCCCTACTCCATTACATTCCTTTTGCTTGCTCCACTAGAATGGCTTCCTGTAGAGTGGTAACATGGTCTGTTTTCTCTTCTACCCTGCAGTCGCCACTCTCCTCCAAACAAGCTGAAATAACCTCAAACCTGTTGGACAATTGCAAAGGCTGCTGGCCACTGAGTCCCCTTATCTGCCTAACTTACTGTTACACTCAATAAAAACCGAAAGAAGTGCGGATGCTGTAAATCAGGAACAAAAACAGAAATTGCTGAGGAACTGTTCTGAGAAAGGGTCACTGGACCGGAAACGTTAACTCTGATTTTTTTTTCTTCACAGATGCTGCCAGACCTTCTGAGCTTTTCCAGCAACTTCTGTTTTTGTTACTGTTACACTCTCCTATCAATGAACGCTGACCAAACCAGAAGATCACATCCTAACAAGTGTAACTGCCTTCTGGTACAAAGAATCCAGGAAAACGTCTCTCTTCCTGATTGTGTTGTAGTGTTTGTATTCAACCTCCAGCTCAACAGCTTGAACATCAACACTTACTGCAGACACAACTGCCTTGGACCAGACTGGCAACGTGGAACTGTCAAATGCAGCAGCTGTGACACACCACCCATCCTGCCATCCTTAATGTGTTCTAATTAACCACTTAATTATTCAGTTATAACATTTATTTATGTTTTTTTTCTTAACCTTACCATTAGTTGCTAAACTTTTGAACATTAGGAATAGAATAAATCTTAAGCCACTTACCAGATACCATCCAAATAATCAGCTTCTTCTCTAACAGAGTAAGAATCAATTCCCGGAGATAATCAACCATCAGCAATTAGTCAACAGTCATAATCTGTCTCTTCTTTTCATGACAGGCAGGCCTCGCCCCTAACTGACATGCTTGATCAAAAAGTGCTGAATTGTTGGCCCTGTAGGGTGAATGCATCGTGCCGTTCAGACGACCATGTACACAGCATACTTTGTAGATGATGGTCACAGTGACACATTGAGAGTGGCATCTTTTCCTGGTCGTGTAGTGGTGTTTCAATTGCCAGAAGTGCATTAAACAGCAACCTGGATTTGGGAATCTGGCAATTTGTACAAATTCCATTGCTCTGTCATGTTCACTGATGGTGTTTATGGGTAACTACAGACATTCATTTTTGTTTTATGCAGGCACATGCAAGCCACTGGGCTAATATGTGCCATGCACTCTGTTGCAGTCTAAAGGACGCTGAAGCAGAAGTACTGAAAGCAATCATTACTTGATTGCTACTGGCAAAATGATGACTTACCAGAAAAGGCCATAGCTTCTGCTGCATGAGGACTGTTACTTTTCAACAGGTTAATCTAAGTAAACTTGAATTTATTTCTCATGGTGCATTTCTGACCACTAATTCCTGGTCTGCAGAATTTGCATGCAACAATGCCCCAGTGCAGTGCTCTAGCAGCATTTACTGCAAATCCAACATGTTTACCTTTCTACTACTTACCTCTTACACATAGAATTGGGCTGCCAGACTTAGTGCTATTGTCCCTATGAGCATTCATCTTTCCTAAAAACTAACAAATTATGCTAAAAGCCAAGGATAATTAGGCAGTCCAATCACCAAACAGCAACAGGGCTCTATATACGTAAAAAGACCCTGATTTGCATGCGATTATTAACCAACCGTTCTTTTCAGCTGGGTATTCAGACTACCTAGTTTGAGCATGCCAGGAAAATCATGTCCGTGCACAATTGATAGAAACAAAATGCTAACAACTTCCTAGCGATTTTTAGAATGCGAGTGCCATCTGCCAGACAAAAAGCATCAAAATGCACCCCTTTGAGCAGATTACAGAGATTTAGAGAGGTTTAATTTTTGTATTTATCTGTTTTCCCTGACTTTGAAGCACTTTTTGGCAAAATGTCCCATTCCTGACATTGTTTTTCTCCCTCTTAGGTAAGAGATGTCAATCAGGAGTTTAAAAAATGTATGATTTATCTTTACTCCAACATTCATTCACTATACCATTCCTCTATTCTCCTGGCTGGCTTGACTCTGAATTAATTAAGTTATAACTATTTTTGAACAAAATAGTAACAAAGTTACTAACTGCCAAACTATATTACTTTCTAAATGTTAAGAAATAATACAATAACTATATTTACAATCAATTGTGTACATAAATGGCACTAGCTTCTGTGACAACTATGACCAGTTACGATGATAAAATCTACTTCTATCTATCTGTAGCAATATTTTTAGAAGGAACAGAAAACTTAAATAGAAAAAGTTTGAACTATACCGAAGCAGATCCACCAAATGGATATGAAATACAGTCAATTAACCAATCTACCAGCTGTAACTGAAACAGAAACATACTCTTGCTTGTTCACGCAGTTGATCAACAATCAAACGATCAACCCGGGAAGGGTTTGATGGTAGCCTGGGAATGGGTGTATTATTTGAACTGGTCACTCTCTTTCCTGGGTAGTTCCTGGCAAGTGCTGCTTCAGTCTTAAAAAGGGAGAAGGGGAAAACGGTCATAACCAATACCAGATTTTAATACAACAAGATTAAACTTCAAAAGAAAAAAACATTTTCAGGTGACAATTTAGCAAAAGTGTTTACTGATATGTCTACCCAGAAACCAGTTGCCCTGGTAACCACATATAATAAGTGGCAAACTGAAAAATAAGCTGAGAAATAAACAAGATACTTAGGAAGCCTTTTTTTTTCATATACTATGTGAACTTTCTGTTATTATGATCTCCATTTAGCTACTGTGTGACATTACAGAATATCACAATAGCACATCAAGGTATGTTTTATTGAGTTTAAGGATGAAACATGGTGTTGGAGCAAAAGATAAGCTTCAGTCGGGCTGTGCTGTACTGATCTGAGATGACAGCAGTGTGTATTTGAAATGGGAATTATCTCACCATGACAAGAACAAATTATTTATAAGTTATGTGAGAGTACACATACTGAGGGGGAAGTATGTATTCGGGATTTCCAATTCGAAGAAAATATACTCAATGCAAAACAGCTTTTATTTTGAATTAAAAAAAACAGCAAATTAGCTTTACAAAATTCTGAGAAATATTTATCAGTAATATTCCTATTCAATATGGATAAGCTAATTAGCCAGTACTTGTAAAATTTGATAGGGGCAGTGAATTGTAAATTAATACAAAATGATCTGTATTGCACATTTCTGGAACAAGGCCTCTTCATTCCATCCCAAGATTACCTGTTGGAAAATCAGGCTGAGCAGGAATGGAGCATAAGGTCAGGGACACAATTTTCTTACCATTGCAATATGCTCAGCCTACGTTATGGAGTGATCCCGGGAAAATTAGATTCCTAATCTTTTATGATAACAAAATAGATGAAATGAAACAAAAAGAGACTGATTTTACATAGGTTGCAAATCTTACTTAAACACACCAGAAATGTTAAATCAAAGCATTCTTAAACAATATTTTAAAAATTGATTAGTTGGCATGAATTAATTCCATTTATCAGAATAAACATAAATTAATTCAAATTATACTGCAATACACAAAGCAAATTTAAGATTTTCCAATTATAGTGTGTAACACTGTCAATGTTAAAAGGATGAAACAGAGTATTTAAGAAAAATGTCAAAACAATGCAAGCTAAGCACCCGACAATGACAAATACATTAGTATATAGCACTTAACAGTTGTTTTAAATACTGGAATTAAGGGAAACTGAAATTTGGTATAATTTGAGGAGGAAAAGATGCAGATTCACATCAAACACATGAAAGTCCACCTCACTGTAGCTATAAGACAACAGATGTCAATTGAAAACAAAGTCAATTGCAAAGGATATTTTGAAATGGTTCCGAAAATGTGCATTTTTCAAAATAACATTTAAAATATGTAAATATTGAAGTGGTTGAAGAATTTCTTCCCTTGTCTGGCATGTATACACTGAGATAAATCTAAGTGAAGTCTATATAATGAATATTCATGCATTCATTATATTAGAACTCCTCAATGGAGTACTGCATCAAGGTCATCTGATTTTCCATCTACTTAAACGGACAGATAGAAATTCAAATGGACTTCCTGTTGGCACACGATCCTCCTTGTCTGGTTTTACTCGTCAAATCTGGTAAACCAATATCATGAGGAACAACAGTAGCTAAGTTCTATACCATAAATAGAAAATTTCTATTGATATACATAAACTAAAGAAGATCATTCATTTAGTTATTCTTCATTCCACAAAATATTAATCAACTACATTTTTACAGCATTTTTGCAATACATTAAGGTGAAAAGAAAGCCAATGAATACTTTTGTTTTCTATTTTTAATAGGAAAGAAATAAACACCATGAATTTCTCTGGCTTTTTAAAACAAAATCAATATCATTGCTAGCGTGGAAGTCCTCAAATAGGGTCTACCTCCCCAAGAAATATTCCAAGGTTAACTAACCCAAGAAAGTAATATTACTGGCTAATGTTACACTGGGACAGGAGTAGGCCACTCACGCCACTGATTCTGCTCCATCATTCAAATTGATAGAAACAGAAATTCGGAGCAATATCAGATTATTTGGCCCTTTCAGCTTGCTCTTTCATCTAATATGGTCATGGCTGATCCTCTCTCAATATCATATTGTTGTCTTCACCCCATACCCTGATGCCTTTAAAATCTAAATTCAGATTTGACTACTTCAATCTCCATTTTAATGAAGAATTCTATATTATGGTCACTCTTCCCCAAGGGACTCTGCACTACAGTGTTAATTATTCTTTTCTCATTGCACAGTACCCAGTCTGGGATAGCCTTTCTCTGGTTGGTTCAACATTTCGGTCGGAAAAAAACAACACTACGGGAAAGTTTCCTCCACACTGCCATTGTTAGTTTAGTTTGTCCAATCTCTATGTAAATTAAAGTCACCCATGATTACAGTTGTTCCCTTATTGCATGCGTCCCTGATTTATTAATTAATACCTTTCCTGAGATTTCCACTATTACTTTGAGGTCTGTAAACAAACCCAAACAATGATTTCCAACCCTTGGATTTTTTTATCTTCACCCATACAGATTCAGCATCATGATTCCTGAGCTAATATCCGCATCACTATTGCATTGATTCTTTTCTTCGCTAACAATGCCACTTTACCTCCTTTCCTTTTTTGTGTCCTTCCTGAATAATGAATACCCCTAAATATTCAAATCCCATCCTTGGTAACCCTGCAGCTATGTCTCTGTAATCACAACTATGTCATAACCGTTTAGTTTTATTTGATCTGCTAACCATCTACTTTACTGCAAATACTCCATGCATTAACACACAATGGCTTTAGACTTGACTTTTTAACATTGTTAGTTATTTTAGCTTTATCTTGCACTATTATCATGGCTGTTTTGTAACTCAGCTACATATATTTGCCTTTAGTCTATAACGCTTAATATATTTAACTATTAATAATCGATACATTTTAGTTTTGAATTTTTTCAACTTATTTTATTGAAGAAAAAATTCCAGGTATCTACAATACTATCTGGCAAAAAAAACGTGCTGACACCACCTCTGAACGGCTAAACTCTAATTTTAAGCTTATATCCTTTTGTCTGGATGCTATTATCAAAGGAAATAGTTCATTTCAATCTTTTATCTCTGCCTATTATTTAATCATCCCAAACATCTCAATAAGATCACTCTAAAGTATTTATTACCTAAGAAAACACTAATTTAGTATATGCAACTTTTCCTTCTTTAATTTAACCCTTTCAGTTGTGATATTGTTCTGGTGAATCTCTGTATCCCCTCCAAGTGCTGCCCAGAACTGAATACAGTACTGTTTGTGCACTGAGCAGAATTTTGTTAAAGTGCAGTATAACTTGCACCCTTCTTTTTAGCTGCTTTGAAATAAAGACCTACATTACATTAGCACTTTTTTTTGTATACATGCCTACTAGATTTAGACCTGAATTTTCAGAGATGGACAGGATCTCTGAATTAGCCATAATGGCGCTAGGGCCCCGATTCTGAAAATCCCACCACTGAACCCAATACCTACCATTTTCGCCAGAAAGATATCCGTGATTCATGGAAAAAGCTGCACATGTAAAACCGTAGCTGCCTTCAAACATATGCAATTTTTGTTAGTGGAATCTGGAAAACATGAGTCATGGGCTTCAGACATTTGTCCAAAAGATCTAGAGTTGCCGCAGTCATTTAGAAATGTATGCCACTCTTTGGGAGAGGTAAGGGACCTTTTTGAATAGGCTCAGGGACCCCTTGGGAATATGCCCTTTGCATTTGTTAAATGTAGATAATAATATGTGAAAGAAGTGGATAAACTAATTGAAACTGGCAATGCTACCAAAGTGTTTAATTCCCCAATCTCTTCAAACTGAAAGAAAAACAATCTATTATGAATTCTTGCAATTTTACTAGGCTGACTGTTCACATAATCCTGAGGGTTATCATTATAGGAATAATGCTACATGACTTATTCCACAATCTATCATCATCGCAGTGAGGAAGGGGGCAAAGCTTGTAAATTCAGTCTGAATGACAGTTCCAAGTGGTTATTGTGGATGCAAATTCTCAGTCCGTTAGCAGCATTACCTCTAATTTTCTTTCTGACTGTGTGGACCTCCAAGATCTGTGCACAGCACAGACTGAAGTCAATGCTGAGATTGGTATGTTAACACCGAACCCTGGAGCGGCTTAGAGAGAACACTGTCCCCTGAACCATGTGGCCAACAGTAAATCAGTTGAGAAAATATGGCAAAACAAGAAAAAATTCTCAATCTCAAGAAAATTAGTTTGATTCTGCAACAAGATTTTGAATGGCAAGATGAGAATCTTGCTAGTGAGTGGTGAGAGGCTTGTTTGCCATTAGTACCCCTCAATGACATGCATTTTCACATTTTCCAACTCCTTTCTATTTAGGTTGAAGGTACAAGATTGATACTAGTGTGTGCAAAAGGAAAACGTACAATAAAGTGTTTAGATTGGAGATTCCTCAAGTGTGAAGAACAGGGTTTTAATTTAATTTATAACAAATTAAATCAGATAGACATGGCAAGTTGGGTGATGTGTTACAGCTGCAGGATGTGAACGATGATGGATACCAAGGTGTTCCACAGTGAACACATCTGCAGTAAATGTTCACAGCTCTAGCAACTACATGTCCAACATGAGCAGCTAGAGTCTGACCTGCAGATGGTGCACTGCATCAGGCAAGGGAAAGTTACCTCGGCACTTTGTGCCTCGAATGTATCTCATGAGTGCGATACGTATCTTAGACTAGACAATCAAACGTGGTCTGTGATCAACAACAGAAGGATGTGATTACAGTTGAGGCAGACATAGGAACTCAAGCTGCAGCCCTTGAGGAGCCTCCTTCTCTGCAACTGTCCAACAGTCACAAGGTTTTTGCAAATTGTGTAGACGAGGATTAGGACGGTATGGTCCATGTGCAAACTAACCGAAGGACTATGGTAGTACAGGGACCATTCA